ACCAAGACGTTCGCGAAGCCGAAATCGTTCTTGTTCAATGGCTGCGCTGTTTCCAGCTAGCCCTTGGATCTCGTTCACAGCCCGCAACTCCTGGTTCTTGACCAAGTGGAATCGTTCCTGCATTGCTTGTAAGGCTTGTTCCGAACTTGCTGTGTTTGACCGGAGGACCAAGTTCTCTCTGGCGTGTTCATGAAGTTCATGAGTCAGACGCTCATACTCACGTGCCATAAGCTCACCATCGCCTTGTGCTCTTGCCTCCAACTGTACAAAGTTGGTGGCTGCCTCCGTGCGAAACACGTGTAGCTGTTGAGCTAACTCCTCGGCAACGGCATGTGCTTGACGTTGTTGAGCAGAGTTCTGTTCATCCATGCGAAACAAAGCTGTTTCATAGTCTCGCTTCATCTCCTGATTGACATTGTTGATGTGCCTCATGGCTAAGCATGCATGGTCACGTTGTCGTTCCAATTCTTCAATGCGAATTCCAGATCCTTCATCTTCTTGTTGCATCTCCTTGATCTTGTCCATCAGGGTCTGGACGATTCCTTCGTATTCTTGCACCTGACTGCGATAGTACATCTGCTGTGCAAGGTTCGATGCTTCGAACTGTTGTGAAATCGTCAGTTCCTGGTAGGCATTCGGACCATCAGCTATGGCAGGCGTAGCTACGGACGACGCATCACCACGTACAGGAATCGTATCCAGAGTCATGTCCAGATCGTCAGCATCGCGTGGTTGATTGGTAACCATCCGATTCCAAGTCATGGACTTGTCACGCCCACGAGTAGCCGAAGTCCTAGATCGTGCTGAAGAGCTTCTCGAAGATGATGGTCTTGACTTCTTTTCCAAGGTCTTGACTCCTTTGTCCTTGGCCCTGGACGTAGTCCGAGGTGCCTGAAAACCAGACGCTTCGGCCCGTCGTTCTGAAGCCTTGCCCGTCCTCGAACCTGTGGATGTCGGACGCGAAGGCGTAGATGCTCTTGGTAGACTCTTTGCTTTCCCCTTGGGAACTGCCTTTGCAATGGCAAGCGCAGAAGATTGACCTTTGTCATCTTCCGTGGAGCTATCAACGGATTGCACCACTGTGTCATCAGCTGTTGACTCACCAACGGCTGGCGCTGCCACATCGGCACCGAAAGTCATTGTCGTATCTTGGCTTGATCCTGAGTTCATTGTGGTCGTAGTAGATCAAGTAGTCGTTGCTGTAGAAAGGCAGAGCCGCGTACGGCTGATAACCTGCGTGGGGGATTGATCTCGACTTGGTTGCTGCTCTCCCCACCAGAGCTGTAATGAATGTAGGTGTGGCTGGCTAGCACTCTCCACAGACTGGACCCTGTCTCTCCCTCTTACTTCCACACGTGCGATCCTATGCAGGCAGAACCGGCGGCCGTTCCTTTTGCACTCACTGCCGGCGGCGGTTCGTCTGTGCAACGGGATAGCTCTGATTGCTCAGGATAGAAGACACATATAGCACTTAGCTATGGGCATTGACTTGAGCCAAACGTTGCGTTGGCGGTCACATAGAAAGGTAAAGATGAGGGATGCGTAGCATGCCCCCTAGAGTCGAGGGACGCGTAGCGTGCCCCCTTCTCTTGCACTTTACACGGTCTTGCTCACAGCTCTTATAGTGACACCTTAGAACTTGACAAGGCATCGCAGTCCGTTCGCAGGATATGTATATGACCTTGGAGCTTTACCCACACAGACACACAAACACACGCACGCAGGGGTCCAGCTGCATGTCTTTCTTGTCCCCTCCACTGTAGAACCTAGGCCACGCAGACATGCAGTGCGTGCGACAATCAAAGGGTAAAAGGAGGGACCCCTAATAAGGATCCCTAGGTATATACGCTTAATATAGCCATTATATACCCATTATATAGCCCCATTATACATTAAGGATCCCCATTAAGGATCCCTCCTATGCCCCTTTGAGACAAAGGCAAAGGACTCGAGAACAAGCTCGAGGTGGAGGGCTGAGGTCTACGATCTCGGCCGGCTTGAGGGCACAGGCATTTGCAATGATGATCAATGATGCCTGGTCTTCTTACGAGGTCGAACACTGACTTCGGACGAGATTGCAGAAGGTTACCATTCGGGTTTCATGGAATCGGTTGTCTCACCTAACTTTAGATTCGCTAAATCTTAAAGCTGAAGCCCTGAACCCTAAAACCCTAAACCTGCAAAACTCCTGAACCCTTAAACCCTTAAGCCTTACTTCGCCGAACTGTTACTGGATGCCGAGTCCTGGGCAGGTGGGGGCCTTCTTCCTCAGTTTCCTGCTCGTCTGCGTTGCGCAACCTGAGCGCCGACACGTGCGGTTTTGGGGTTTTGGGTTTGCATTTAGGGACACGTGCCTACTTTTACGATCGCGGCTTGAATGCCAGCGATGCTTGTTGGTTATGAGCTCTTAAAGGCCTGCAGATTGTTGATGGTTTTGGCATGACACTGAGCGAAACTTTAGATACGAGAACGAACAACACTGCAAATTGGGGTGTCGTGCTTTCAACTTTCTCGGGTGCCTCAAAATTTTGCGATCCAGCTGCGCGTCTTTCTGGTACCCTTGTCCAAATCCTTTGCCCAACATCCTGAGCACTGCAACAGACATCGAATCGAGAAGTCGTACGATCACGGCTACCTATTCTTCATACCATCATTCAAACCTTTCAGGCACGAGATCGAAAAATGAAGAAGGCTAATTACCCAGAGGCTCCATAGTAGTTCCTTTTTGGGATTACCTTATAGGATTCTGTATATGAACCCCAAAAAGGAATTGCTTTCGAGCCTTAGGGTAGGTTGATTCATGTGAGTCTCATCGTGCGGTCAAGCTGCACATCTTCCTGGCCCCCTTTGCCAACTCCTTTGCCCAACATCCTGAAGCCAGCAGGCACGCACTGCGATGTACAACTAGCCGACAGCGTCAAGCGAAGCATACGATATCGGCTTGCGGGCTCTGACCACTTGTGTTTCATACCATGCTTACATCTGACGGCAGATATGAAACGGAAGAAGGCTAGGCTGGCTGATGTGAATGAATTAGAATAGTGCTTTGGGGCCCGTTATACTACAATTCTACTAAGGAACTCCCCAGAATAGTATAGGTAATCATTTAGGGCCTTATACTAAATCCTTATAGTAGCCCTTTTAGACCCCTTTGGCCCCTTTGAACAAAGGTACCCTGTTCTCATTATTTAGGCCCCTATAATAATTTGCAGTCCGGCTGCCCGTCTTTCTGGTTGCCTCCGCCGGCCATCCTAGGGCCCACCGGTTTAGGGTTTTGGGTTTAGGGTTTAAGGGTTTAGGGTTTAGGGTTTGGGGTTTAGGGTTTAAGGGTTTAGGGTTTAGGGTTTGGGGTTTTAGGGTTTAGGGTTTAGGGTTTGTGGGTTTAGGGTTTAGGGTTTATGGGTTTAGGGTTTAGGGTTTCAGGGTTTAGGGTTTAGGGTCATGCTCTGTGTCTCTGAGTAGCCCCTTTAAAGGGATCGCAAGGGCTCTAAAGGGATCTTCTAGGGTACTATAAGGGTTTAGGGCTCCTGAGTAGCCCCTTTTATAATGAGGGTACCCTTTTCCTACTGCTCGGTTTTAATGAGGGGACACTAAAGCATACAGGGCAAAAGGGTCCTACTCAGGAACCCAAGTGTTGTACCACGACGCTGCCCTGAAGTATACCATCTCGGCTTGAATCCTGCGGGATCTTCGGATGCTTTGAACGGCTAACTACCAATGCCTGATATCAGTCTCGAACCTAACCTCAGCCGCGAGATGCTTCATGGGAGTCCGAAACTGCCATCCCAGCTGCAGGTCTTTCTCCTTCATCCTGAGATCCACAGAGGTGTATTGTTTTGGGGTCTCGATTTGAGGGCTTAATATAGGGGCCTCAACAATTAGAATAGGGTTTTAAACCCAGTATACTATAACTATAACAAGGAACCCCCCCAAAAAATAGTGTATATATATATATATATATATATATATATATAGGTACCTATTGAGGCCCCTATACTACAGCTATGTGGCCTTGGGATTTTAGGGTTTCGGGATTTATTCTTCAACAGGCATGAATTGGCATCTGCAATGCCTCGAAACACGTTGAACTGAAACAGACGATCTCTCCATCGTAGCAAAAACCTATTCTATAACTCCAGATAAGAGATTGAAGGAGCCCACCCTAGGTAGCAGGATCCTTACTATAAGGACCCCAAAATAAGGTATCCCTAAACCCTAAGCCTTTAAAGGAAGCCTGAAAGGAACCCTAAGGTACCCATAAAGCAGGTACCCCCTAAGGTTTGGTTGGCTTCAAGGCAGACTCCGAATTTGAAGTCCGGCGGCTCGTATTTCTCGTCCCCGTCTTCGGACAGCCTGAGATCCATAGAGGCTTAGCGCTTTAACGCATACAGTAGGGTTCCTGTTTAAAGGGGTCTATAAGGGATATAAGTGGTACTATAATATAGGGGCCTGAATCCCTATATTCTACAGCAGGGTTTAAGGGTTTAGGGCTTTGGAGTTCCGCCGACATGCATTGCACTCCACCACTCCAGAAAATGGGGAAATAAGGGATCGGACTCTCGGATGGAGGGCGGCGGTTTCTTAGGACCCTTGAAAGGAGCAGTTGCCTTAGGTACTGCCCTCATACAGTAACAGTCTATAATAGGGTTACAATTATGATCCTAAAAACTTACCTCCTATGACTATTCACCAACTGTTACTGAGTGGGGGCCGTACCCAGCAGCCCCCTATTCTTGACACCATGTGCTAGCTCCAATTTCAGATTTCCGAAATTCCAAGTTTCGGTCCAGCCGCACGTCTGTCTGGTCCCCTCCACTGAACATCCGAGAGGCCCAAAGATTATTCTGAGCAACTCGGGAGCATGCTCATATGATGAAGTAAACGATATCTGCTTCAGGGCTCCGGGATCTATGCAAAGCTTGAACAGGGTATCTAATTTAATCTTCATACCGTGTGTTGAACCCAAGTCTAGAGACGAAGTTCATGAAGATTCAGTTGCCTCACCTGACTCCGAATTTGCAGTCCAGCTGCATGTTGCTCATGTTGGGGAACATCCTGAGGTCCACAGAGACAGACGCTGCATTTTGCAAGCTCGTTTTGCTGTCTGCGGGGTCTTACGACCCTCTATCCTTTGAAGATTACATGATTTCGGCTTCCTGGAGTGACTCCGAACTTGCAGTCCAGCTGCGCGTCTTTCTTGATCCCTCCGCCACCCATCTGTTTGGAAGCTTTGTTGAAGCTTTTGCCCGGAGTCCTGGTGACGAGGACAACGCTTGCTTGGGGTTTTCGCTCACCTGGACTTTATTCATGGGGTGCGGATGGCCTCTGGGATCTTATGGGCTTCAAGACGGTACTGTTCTTACTGTGGTTGCCGAAGGCCGCAGAAATGCTGACTTCGAAGTTGCAGTCGAGCTGCCACTCTTCTTCCTTTTCTTTCCCCTCTCCTTCGGCCTCCTTCCCGTCCCCTTCACCCTCCTGCTCGCCTTCCTTGCCGTCCCGTTCGGCGTCTTCGGCCTCCTGATCTTCGCTCTCGAGTTCGTCGAACATCCTGAGGTGTCACAGACATGCACTGAACTCTACGATGATGCGGGCACGAGGTGCACTCGCACACGATCTAGGCCTGAGAGCCCCTGGATCTTATGATCCTACAGGGTCGCCGTACCATGGTTGCACCCAAGACACCAGATTGAAGAAGGTTAACCATTGGGATTTCACGGTTAGTGTCTGCCTTATGCGGCTCCGAATTTGCAGTCCAGCTGCGTGCGCTTGTGGTGCCCTCTGCCAAGCTTCCTGAGGCTCAGAAACATACATCTCATGTTTCATCGAGTTGGGAACCCATGTTCGACTAAAGTATACGATCCCGGTTTGACAGATCCGGAATCCAGACATACCTGGAAAGAAGACGACAGTTTGCACAAACTGAGGCACGCCGGAAAATAAGTGTAAGGGCTTTGGGGTTTAAGGTTCATGTGGAACTGAAGCTTGACTGATGCTTGACACAAATTTTCGGCAGCGGAGATAGAGTCATACCAACTACATGAAGGTTGTGTCCTACCTGACTTGGGTTCCTTGTGGCACTGCCTAGGCCTGCATAGACATAAAAGCTTCGAATGTGATAGAACCTTCAGCAGCCTAGAACACCTCTGAGAAACCCTAGAAAACTCCGAAGCCCCGTCACATGCATGTGACAAGCTTATCTAAACGGCCCTAAGCCCTAAACCCTGAACCCTAATGCTTCATGTACCTCCGGGAGCTGTGACTGGTAGCCGAGTCTCTTTGTCAGCAGGTAGCTACTCGGCCGCCCGGAAGGCAAAAGGCAGACCCTGGGAAAGTCCAGAAATAGTGTTCGGGGTAAGGTTTAGGTTTGATCGGTGCAGGTTTGAAATGTTACGGGTTAGGTTTTAGTGTTCCGGATTTGAGGTCCAAGGTTGTCTTCTTAGTCTTACTCTCATTCGTACCGGTGTTGTCACGACTACTTTGTTTCCGAGTGGAAGACTCCAAGGTGAAGGGTCTAGGGTCTGGCTTGACCATCGGGCGAATGAAGCAAAAAGAATGGGTTCAAGTCTTAGGTCTTACGGCGTTGGGGCTTTACATATTAGGTTACAGTGTACTATCAAAAGATGTAGGGTACGTACGACAAATGTGGCTAATGTGAGAAATAATGCACAATTTGATATGACCATACGATATGACCTTAGGGTTTAGGAGTTTAGGATCTCCGGTTACGTGTAACCTCGGGGATGTGCCAAGGACGCAATTCCTAAAGGGGCGTACGCAATCAGAATTTAGAGTAGCTACATAACGGCTGTAGCAGGATATTCTCTCTCAGTATGCAGACCCGTTTAGGATTGTGGTGTCCTCCAGATCTTGAGACCGACTCGACTTCAGACTTGGTGCATTCTGTGCCACGCATAGTTGTGTTGAAGGATAACTTAGGGCCTGAACCCAAGCATGCGACAGTACGGAGCATTACGGAGCAATTGCAACATGGCTTGGGGCCTGAGCCAGTGTCTTCAGTTGTGAAACAAGTACATAATCGGGGGCGACGAGGAACAACATCGTCCGTTCTTTATCCCATGTGTTGAGTCGCGGGTTGTTTCTGTTGCGGGGCTACACAAACCGATGCAAAAAAATCCAAAGCCAAAGCCATCGATGGCAACGACAAGAACGACATGCCAACGAACAGCCGTAGATAGTAGTTAGTAGTCGTGGCGGGATGAAGAGGATCAGTCATTACTTACAAAATCCCACCAGCACCAGCACTACAAATAACAAATGGCAGCAGCAACAGTAGCAGCTGCGCTTTTTCTGTGTCACAGCGAAGTCTGAGGCCCCGCATTGCCCATAAGACAAAAACCAAAAACTGTCAAATATAATACGATAACGTGAACGGACCAGTGACTCCTGATTTAAACTAAGAGAGTTGTGTGAAAACCGCCGCTGGCCATATTATACAAGGTTGACCCTTGAAAGCCTCTTAAAAATATTCGTAGATAGGGTCCTATAAGCCCAATAAGGGAAAACATAAAATATCCCGAAGGCCTACCTAGTATATCAGTGGACAACAACTGTAGCAATGCAACCAGGCCTAGGGTCCAAGGAGGCAGACTTCACCTCCAAGAAGGACCTCACTCACTTTCAGGCAGTGCCGGCTGCTGGTTTAGATTCAGTTATGTATCTTACGTTATATATACATGATTGTATATGATTATTGAATTACTCATGTGTATGTCTTTGTATGTATGTATATATATATATATATAGAGAGAGAGATGTATGTATATATACAAAGAAAAATAAGAATGAGGAAATAAATGTGCATATATATGTATATATGCATACATATATATATATATATATACATATATATATATACACATATATATATATAGATAGATATACGCTCATACATATGGCTTGATCGGGTTTGATGCTCTTTGTCGGGTCGCAGTCAAAGGCTGTGTACCAGGCACAGTGTGGGGATGGAGGGTCCCGATCCTTGCAGCACGCGTCGTCCTGCGGCCTTTTTTTCGCGACTCTTGCGTCTTCGAGTCTTCAAAATGCTCCTTGCGACGTGGGTTCATATGACGAGCGCCAAACTGCTCTGGGCATCACTCAGCGGTTGCTGTGATGCTTGAAGTAGTTCTTGCTGGGAGCTTTGACATACTCGATGGGAAATTCTGACAGGCCTGCTTCCTGAAAAGCTTTCAACCGGCGATTGTCCAACGAGTATTGCTTGTCTCCGGATTGGTAAACTCTGATAGGGGGGAAGTCCCACGAGCTGAGCCTGCCATCCGCCAACTTCCGCGCGACGTGCTCCACCTGTTGACCATTTCTAAAACTCTTCGAGGGCTCGTGCGTGAAGTGGATGTCGCAAGGGTCAGGCATCGGTAGGAGGTTGACAGCTCTGTTGGCCGTTTCGCTCTACCAGCGCTTGAGCCTGGATAGCTTCACGGAGGTGGCAAGATCAAAAATAAGCCTGCAGGTAAGTTTTCTCGAAGGCCATGCAACAGATTTGGTGCAGTAGCTGCCGACGGGCGCTAGAGTGATAGTCTGCAGTATAGCGGCAGTCCTCTAACGACTCATAACGATGACTTTGAACATCAACGTCAGAACCAGAATTCTGACTGTCTTCGAAGCATCACTTAGATCCCTGTACTGCTTTTCTCTACGAATAAGTGTCGCAACATCGATGGTCCTGAGACCCATGTTTGCACAAACTGCCAAGCCGCAAAGCCAAAAGCCTGACCCTTTTCCCAAAAAAGACAGGGTCCTAAACAACCCGGCAACATGGCCTAGCCCCCGCAACCCTAAACCTCAAAATCCCAAACAACACTAGCACTACGCACTTCCAGCTTTCAATCCTTCGGAAGCTCCGAGGCACCCGGCGCTTTCTCCGAGGCGGCTGCAGCGCTTGCATATGCCTCCAGGGGTTTAGGCTTGTTTCGGGTTACGAAACCCGTTTATGATTATGTACCTCGTTCGTGGTGCCTTTAAGGGCAATTCAGACAGGCATCCGAAAGTGTCTACTGACTGTTAGATCACGTAGAAGTTATGCAGTCATGCGGCGTGGGCGCGCTTGTGACGTGGGTAGTGCGTCGAACCCTAACCACAAAGCTTGAAACCCATAAAACCCTACAGACCGTATATAGACTTCAAAGCCTAAGAACACAGATTAAACCCTG